ACGTACAGTCGAATTGAGAACCACCTCCTTTTTTGAAGTCGGTTAAAAATAAGAAAACATAATCTCACTATTGCCTCCACTTACTAAACTTTAATAAAAAAAATCAACATCATTTTCATGTTTATTTTTATCCTCAAATGATATAGGCAGTGATCCAGCATCCGGTCCGCCATGTTTTTATACCGTACCTCATCTCGACTCAGATAATAAATTCCAAGAAGACATTCCATTGTAGGCATTATAAACGTAATACTAAGACATAAATATGCCAAAACCAACGACGCAAAATCGAGAGAGATTTTATTCTAATCGATATTTAGCGGAAAATAATTTTAATTTTATTTATATCTTTCTATTGGTAGCGCCTTGTAATTTCAATGATGTTTTTAATAATGATTTTTAACCGTGTTTTGGTTTACCCTTAGGTCAACTAGGCAAGGAGTTCATTTCACACAATCAACTCAACTTCACACAATTTCAAAGGTTGTGGCTTGTTCGACAAGCAGATTTTGTCCGATGTTTTCTTTCGACGCCAGCTAGAATTATTGCTACTAAACATCCATAAATACGTCTTTGGAAATTAAAGACATGGGATTACCTTTTCAAATTCCGAATGTTTTTTTATCACAATGCGTGTGCGTGTGTGGTTTACCAAGAATATTAATGTTTACAAGATCAAATTAGCGCTAAATACCGTGTACGAAGTGTTTTTCAGAGTTGCCTATCTTTTAATTAATCTTTCTTTCGTTTTCAAAACAATGTATGCCTAATGAAGATACTGTAATATTCCTTTGAATGCAGCACTGTAATTGACATAGAGGGAAGAAGGTTTTTTAATTTGCGAGAACGGACGTGCTGGTGGCAATAAAAAGGATCGTAAATCCAGTGCATATTTTCACGGTACTTACCTCGACAGTACGCCGTTATATCCACAGGGATTGTTGTTTTAAAACATGGATATCCTATGTACGTGAATTACGAGACATTACGATTTGTGTGAAAACTATTGTATTTTGTTCTGACTGTGATGTGGGATGTTATAATCACATATTTCATTAGGTGTACTGAGTGATGACGACTATTTCTAAAAAGCAGAATTGTTGATTGAATGAATTACAAAGAAAAAATATTATGTACTTTCGTCCTCAGTGCTTTACCAGATTACAATAGATTATTGTGATTAGTTATCTGGCTAATCACAATAATCTATTGAAGACCTCTGTGACCTAACAGTTTGCGCTGTCGACGCCGAATGAGGAAGTCCCGGGTTCGATTCTCAATAGGACCAATTTGAGAAATGAACTGTTCTAAATTGGTTCTGGTCTGACAGCTTTCTTGAATAGCGGCCTATTCAAGAAATAAACATCAAAGCCTAAACATCAGGAAGGGCTTGAAAACTGAGATGTGTCTTCTTTGCAAAGCTGACGAATCATAGACCATGCCAATGTTGTCGTGTGATTACTAGTTTGGATTAATTCACAATAAATTTTAATATTTCTTGAATAAATCATACAATGAAGTCAAAAAAGGAACAATTTGATAAACTGTAAATATGTAGAAGTCATTTTACTTTTACCTTCGTTCACTAAAACTATGCACGTGGTACATCTTAGCAAAAAACTCTTCGTTACCTGTAATTTACCTTCAAACCACCCAGGAACCCTCACTTATCTGCGGTTGCCACCATACTAAGATATTCATATTGATAGTGAACGTCCTTTACGTGACGGATCCCTAATAAATCAGCACAGTTTTTTTAGCAGAACATTCCACGATCCAATAATTAATGTATTTATTTTTTATATAGGAAGTCAGTTCAATATTGTAAAGTCTCATCTAGGAAAAAATAATGATGACATGATATAAGAGTGCGGGTTGATTTCCATCGTCTAAGGGTTTGATAAATACGTGACTTTTAGATTAAATAAAAACTTTCTTCGGTTTTTATTTTTATTTCTTAATTTGGAACTCCTTACTAAGCAACTAACGTTACGTTTTTAAATTTATACGAAAATAAAAAACTACAAATAAAAAAGTTAGATGAGATCGATCGGTATTTTTAAAGATGGATAAAACGGAACTTCCAGTATAACGTTTCTCATCTGCAACCAGACAATCAAAATTTGTCGAATTCACCAGATTTGATCGCATTTGACTTTTTTGTCGGATTTTTACCGCTTTGCATCACCTCATTTGACGTGACAGCTGAATTTTCAGTTTGATAATTTTTTTTTTTTTGTGGGGTTGTAGAAGTTAGGATGGTGCTGGTCAAGCTGTATAGAAATAAATATTAAAAACAAATGTTTTTTTTTTCTTCTCAAAGTAACGGACTTATCAAACCGCCCTCGTAAATCGATATTTCGCTCATGAATTAGATATACGAGTATATCTTTGTATGGCATTGCTAGCGCCCGAGGTTTAATTAGATGTATACTTGTTTACGTTATTCATGAGTTTAAAGCGATCTTTAAAAATAACCTCGCTAAATATGCGAACTCGCAAAAATTTACAGAAAATCGATTATTTTAGAAGAAACAACGAAAAAACATACACGTCCAAGTTGTATTTTGTACAACGTGAACAAAGCCCAAAAATGCGTCGATAGTATCGAATTGTTGAGCGTACGTAAAATATTTTATTATATTGATTATGAAATCAGCAACACTGATTTAACAATATTTTTCATAAATTTGCCCGACTAATTTAAGTAAAGAACACCTGTTTTAATTAGAACAAAACATCAAAAGGAATGTTATAAATTACATATGACGGAAGACGGAAGAAAATTTGAATTTTCTTTTATAACAATCGATTTAATTAAAATTTTGAAAAAAGTCGCTGAAGTAAAGTAAATATTAGATATAAAATTACATTAATTATGAAATCGTGTACCAAAATTAACTAATACAAAAAGTTTAAAACGGATTTTACCTGATTTGTGGGTTCAAAATTCTGAGCACATTTTTAATGGCTATCAGGGGTGGCCTTAATAATTAAGTGGATGCTTTGTTTTTTTTTATTTAGCTATTTGAATTGATCTGAACGGTGAATTGGATAAATTCCTTTCATTTATTATGTTATCTTAGATCGAGTTCTTAGAGTTTCGCGATTGTTGAACACATTGGAAATTATTTTTTTTTTTCGGACCTAAATCGCATTGTTTGTTTTTTTATACAAACCAACGTTTCAGACTCTTTACAGGCCATGACCATGAGACCTGTAAAGGGACCGTGGGACTGAAATATTCATTTGTTTGAAAAACAAATGGCACATAAAATCAAATAGTGTCATAATATACCTATGAAAATTGTAGAGTTGTAAAAACCAGAAAATTCAAGAAATTGTTGAATGAAACCAATAAAATAAATTCTCGCTTATGTATAGATAACTAAATATTATGTGTAAGTAAAAATAATCACATTATTTGAAATAAGTTCAGTACTTTTTTAGATTTTACAATTTAGAGTTACGACCATTGACATCAGAGCTTAAATGTCGATGGTTACGACATTATTTGGTGTCACGTGCAAAATACACACGACTTAAATCCGAAAGAAAAATAGTATCACTTTCAATTATCATCAATTTATTACGTGTTTTTTTTATTATTGTTGGTCTTTGATGAGTGAGAACTTTAGGTATTCCTTCGACAACTCTCATTCTCAAAACAAAAAAAGTATAATTTCCAATATTAACATATCGATGGCTTTCTAGAACAGTATCTGCTGCACAAAGTTGATAAATAGTAAAACAATACCAGCGTTGTCGTGTCATTATTCTACAGAAAGAAAGTTTGGAATCCCAATCACAATGAAATTGTGCATTTTCTCAATAAATCTCAGTAATAAATCAAAAAACCATAAATTTTGCAATAAGCTACTTTTTTATATATATAAACGAACTACTGAGAGTTACTTTTGCGTTTTTATGATGTTAGTCTGAATGTGTACAGCTTTTTGAAATTTTACTACAAAAATGTTGTGATTAATGCTCCCTGGTATGTTACAAAAGTCTTAATATTTTCTTTTGTTAAGACATTTTATTATTTAGCATAAAACATTCAAAACGCCTTAAAGTTCTGCCCATTAAACCCGTTTAGGATTCGGTTCCAATAAAAAGCTGAATTGAACGGAAATGAAATAACGCTAACCAGTTTTTCTGAGGTGCGTCGGGAGGCAGACTCGAGGCCTTTTTTTTCCAGAGTCGAGCGACCGACTACCTCTAACAATGGATTAGGAAGACTTTTATTCATGATGCATTGTCGGTGCCGAGGAATGACATTCCTTTCTGGCCATGTTCTGCTTTATAAACAGCTTTTCAAAATATCACTGTGCCGTGAATAGAAATATATGAAGGTACTTACTTGTCGATGTAACAATCCACATAATGGAATCCATTTGAGCACTAAAGAACCAGAAGTTACAGCTAGGATTAGGTATTTTAACTTTACGATAACAACTTAATGTTCTAGTATTTTTTCTACGAGCTTGCACATTGAAATCATCTGTAGATTTTTGTACTAAGCGATATGATAGCAAAATACTGCTCAAGATAAGACGGAAAATGAAATATCTTTACAGCCTCATTTTATACCCAATTTTCCTTCCTAAGACGGTATAAAAATAGAATACCTATCATTCCAAGTTAAATTACTCGTGAAACTTTTTTGAAAGCTTTAAGCCAGAATGTAACAACTAAGCACTTGTTACAGAAAAATCTTAAACTCGAAATTTAAAAATTTGCATAATAGATGATATATTGTTAACACACGTTATTGATCATTAGTTAGCCAAGTTTTAAACTTATTGGTACACCATAAAGTTTCAAATTAATGTACTCCTCAAAGTCATTCGAAAGCCCATTCACGGGTGACGTGAAATTTAGAAATCAAACAAAACAAACACATTTCGTAATCGCCTTGTTTATTTTTTGATTTACTCTAAAACTCTTATTTTTTTCAACATAAAAATTATACATACGTTATCATACAATACAACATTCACCATGAATTCATGTACGCTCAGCAACACAGTAATGCTTTCATCAATGTAGCTACTCTGATTTTTTCTTAAGAAAATCTGGAAAAATCAATGTCATGGGTATACAGTTGGACAGTATTGTATTCAAGCTGAATCGCTGTCCGTAACATGAACATATTTATGTAGTAATATATATATATATATTACTTTGAGGGGAAGATGACAATGATGAATATCTTCGGATAATTAGGTCTTGTTCTTACACATAGGCGTTAATTATAGTCATTTAACATCTTAACTGATTTTCAACAACCAAGATAATATATTTATAATCAGTATTTTTATATTTGGCGATCAAACACGATACCACTCCATATCACGTAATAATGTACACTTACTTCCTTCAACTAATCAGTCGCGGACCCTTCGACCGGATCCAATTTAACTTTCCCTTACATACTTAAATAAATAATAATATGATACAAAAAATATTACACTAAAAACCTGTGTAGGTGTAGATTACACATATTATACGTATATAGATTATACCTTATGCCTTTATGCTATTTACAACTTTTGACATGTTATCTAGATATGTAACAGGTTTTTAAACATCAGTAGCACAGCCGTCATGATAGCCCTCGTCACCGGAGGGCCTGGTTATGGTGAGTACGCGCTTGAGTGCTGCCACGGGTGGCAGGACAGGAGGAGCGCGCTGCCACACGCGCAGCGTGCGCGCCCCATTCACTGGCAGCCCATAGTCTGGTGGGTAAGGTGGATCACCTGGCGCCGTCGACGTCGGCACGGGGGTCGTCGAAGCTACCGCATGAGATCGAGGAAACGTTCGACTCATGTACCCCAATTCTTCTTGTGAACCGTCTACGCTACAGTTCTCTATTATCGGCGTACGATCATTGTAGTACGCAGGTATTGCAGAACTGACCGCACGAGCCAAGTTACTCGCTTGATTCATTTTCATTTGGTCCCAGAGACCGGAGGGATACAAGGAATCACAAGCCTCGCGGGCGTACTCACCGCTCCCCGGGCGAGCGGCGCTGTCGGGCCTTGTGTCGTTGATGAGGTCAGGATCGATGCCGGTCGAAACTGTCGGTGATACTACCGCAGGTCCTCCGGCAGTAACGATACTGCCTCTACCTTCGTAATGGTTTGTTGTATATGGAATGTCATTAACTCGGGGTGGCTTCAACACAGGATTGCACTTTGGGTCATTGTAATTTGGCGATTCTTGCTGGTTAGCCAAAACTGCCATTTGAGGTCTGTCTGTCGTCGCTGGATGCACTTCGTTACCGGACACAACTCTGTCTATAGTATTAGGAGTTTTGCTTTCGCAAGCCGGCGCGGAACGAAACCGGACAAACGTAATGAGTAAAGCCAGAGAAATAACGACAATAACTAAGAACAATGCGGCTCCCAGACTCGCTATTTGTGCGCTCCCCAAAGACGCCATTCCAGCAGCCATTTGTGTAACGTGTACCGTAAAATTGGCTTCAGCATTTCCACCTTTGTTATCGGCGACACAATAAAATTCTGCTGAATCTGTTTCTTGTGTGTTAGTTAATACTAAGGTGGACTTCTTTTTGCTTTCGCCCTCTTCAAAGATATAAACTTTTTGATGAGAATTGAAACTGCTTCCGTTTTGAAGTAATCGGCCGTTCCAATACCAATTAATATTTGCGCTTGGCATCGCTTCTGTTCTACATGTTATAGTAGCGTTTTCCCCTACGGCTGTCTCTACATGTCTGCTCACAGGTAATATTTCTGGTTTGCATGCAAACTCTTCAATAGCTAATTCTGCAAACGGTCGATTGGCCAATCGCGCCGGTGCCGAACACGCAGGTGTCGAAAGTAATTTACGTTTTTCTAACCATTGCTTTAAGTCTCTAAGCCGGCAGTCGCAAGTCCATGGATTATCGGACAGGTCGATGGCCCTCAATTTTTCTAATCTTTCAAGGGAGCTCAGAGGTAAATCCCGTAGCTTATTATGAGTGAGCTTTAAAGATTCCAGAGATTTTAATTGCCGGAAAGCGTCAGCTGCTATATCTCTTATATCACATCTAGACAAATCAAGTTTTACGATGCTTCCCAAACTACTCAACGCGTCCGAATGAACTTTGAGTATAGGATTTTGAGACAGAGTGAGGTCTCTAAGAAATGGAGCATCCTTGAAGCTATTAGTTGGTATTTGAGTGAGTAAATTATGAGAGAGGTCTAACTCTACTAAATTAGTTAGGCCTTTAAAGGCCCGATCATGAATTTGGCCAATGCTACAGCTACGCAGGTAAACCCTCTGTAGATTGACTAAGCCGGTCCTGGCGAACGCTTCCTGAGGCAGGATCTGGAGGTTGTTCCCAGAGAGGTCGAGCACCTGCGTTGCGGGGTCCACCGGCTCAGGCACGGTGATAAGTGCACGGTCTACACACTCCACAGTCTGCTTACCACCTTTCCATTTACACGCACACACGGCTGGACAAGATCCGGGAGGAGCGATTCCAGCCAAAATCGTTTCCCACGCCACCACACTCACTGTAACTAGTAACCACTTCATTTTGATTTTCCAATCCGTTATTATGTTCAAACAAAACTTTCACTATAATCCATTTATTCCACTGTTCCACATTTAATTCGCTGGTATTTCACAAAAAAATCAGTACCTAATAATTTCTAAAGATATGCCGTTTCTACGTTTCTATATCGTATCACATCACTGCTCGAGAAAGTTGGCGAACGACTCATGACGGTACGTTACTCACTCGCGACGGCTGTAAATCAACTGAGAGGGAGGGACCGGCTTGGTGAGACGAACTCAACGCATGCGCGCCGACGACTCCCCTCGCCCCGCTTTGCGGCTTCTCCTCGGCGATCGAGTTGAGTAGCTCTACTCAACGAGAACTGTTGAAAGAATTCCAAAAGTGTAATTTTCTACCTGGCTTGTGACCGCGACCGAACATCACGCTCGCCAGCCCGTCACGTTCATTCATAAATACCTGAGCCAGCGGCGGCGGTGACAGGGTCGCTGAATGAGGCTCGGATGCAACAATGCTCAGCCGGCTAAGCTCGCGTTGGGGCACGCAAACCGCTTCGATTGTTAAGAATACGCATCTTTTTGTTGCAATCACGTCGGCCGAGCGTCAGGTAGAGGACTAATTATGAATAGCACGTCGAGAAGGAAGGCAGGTATACGACAACAATAACACAGGATGTGTCGTACAAAGAACACGACAGTTTCATTCATAATTCCGTTCAATGAATAGAAAACGTAATTGATGTTATAACCGACTTTACATTTCCGAGAAAGTCCAAACAACCTGTTTAAGTATGACTGATTGAATCGTAACGTAAGTTAACATTGAACATTTTTCATTGACTTTATCATTATCGAATTTTTGTGCGAAGTAATTTTATACTGAACTTCAATGTACATAAAAATAATAATAACATACCAGACACCATACCAATTAACCCAATCTCAAACAAGGAATTCTGTGTACTATGTACTCATATGCTGTGGTACTCCACAGCAACGGAATTCACTCCGGGATACTGCCCGGAATACAAATCAGCACACATTTAGAAAAGTTCATATTCCAAAATGGTCCTATAGGGGACCGAATCCGGGGCAGTGCAAACTGTGGGGCCACCGAGTTCGTCAAAATATAAAAGACCATCGCTAAGGAATTATAAAAAATATTCATATTCTATGTGAATAATGATTCGATGATTAAATGGCACGCGGCTGGCATACTCCGCCATGTGTCGTCGTCCGCCGGGTGCTATGCCCGTTGCTTACCGGCCGTGTGTCGCACCGTCAGCTGCGCTAACACCTGGAGGTGGATTCCTCTCGAGTAATTCGAATATCGAATCAATTATCGCCCGCAGCGTTCCAAACCCATCGCACCATCATAAAACTTCTTAACTCAACCCCCGCCATATTTAACAAGCAATGTACGTATAGAATCAAACGCAACTGACAAACTTACCATGCGTAACGACATTTTTATTAAAATCGATCCTAACTAAAGGAGACGCGTGTAAGGCGCCGGCTGCCACCACGATGCCTCACTAATAAGGCTTCGAGCTTTATAACAATGTAGGCACTCACAAGTGTATGCGCCAAGAAACCCTTTCCTAGATGTCAATTTAGCGTGTTTATTGTGTTTGTTTCAACATACGATTATTGGTCTACTTGAATAAATAAACATGAATACGTACGACCAAAACGTATTATGACTCTGCCGCCGTCTACAGAATGGTAAAACAATGATAATAGATTTTCTCCATAATAAATATTATATTTTATTTTTGGACAGTATTTAAATAGCACCGCACACAAAAACTGTCACTACTTTTCTATGTGTTTTCAACAAAAAATGTTCAATGTAAATCATTGGATTTTGTCAGTACGTTGTTGAGTTATCTATGGAAAAGCAGTAGCCGGCAACTATACAGTAATCGCGCTGTAAAGCCCGTAGTCGGTTTTTTGAGACCCATATAACACAGAGTGCCCCGTCATATTTTGATATTTAATTTTACGGTTAACGCCTTACTGTCCAAGGTTATCTAAAGGTCAACTAGGTCTACCGTTATGGTTTCACTCGTTATATCTATAAAAATAAAGCTCCCGGCCATATACAATAAAGCGCCAAGACCTCGTGTTTTATTTAATGCTTATTGCATATTGAGGATGGAAGACTTCAAATATGAAGTTTAGGACAACTAAAGATTTGAAAATATCCATGTCCAAACTTGGTGTTTGAAGCTTTCAATCCTTTTGCGGATTCCTTTTGCGGTCAGAGTCACGTCACAGAATAAATAATAATGTAACGTATCAAAGAAAAAAGTACATGCACAGACTAAATGGGACCGTGGTGTAATTTCCATATAAAAATGCAAATTGCAAACATTTTTGGGTTTTTGTCTTTTCTTGTTTTTTGGACTAATGAAACTCATAATAAAAAAATATTTCTCACTACACCATTGCATTGTTATCGAGTTTCGATTTATTTAAAGTCAGTCTGATAAATATTGTGTTGCAAGATTTGAAATTCAAGACAAAGACAAGTTTATTCAATTATAACTTGATCTGATATAAATATAAAGCTGTGATAATATTAAAATAAAAAGGAAAAAGGAACGTTAACTATATTATGTAATCTTCATAAAGCTATACAATTAAATCTTAGAACTATAATAGTGTAGTTGAGACGCCTAAACCAAGTAAATGTGTACCTTATATTTTAGGCACCTTGCGTGTGCATACTTTCTTTTATTAAAGATTAAAAACGGAATTGGTATATTTATTTAACAATTAGTAATTATATAATATCAATTAACAGTTATACATAGATTATAATTATGAAATAACTTCCAGCAAGCCTTCTGTGTCATCATAAGTCTTATTCTTAAGACAGTCAAATCTTTTTGACGATCTTTTCACATTCTATCTTATAATTAAAATACTCACAAACACGTGACCATTTATAAACATAATAATGTAATAAAATAGGCTTGATGTTTGAATTATGTACAGAAACCCTGCTGAAAAAGAAGGTACGTTTTTCATATTATGTTGGTCATAAATGATTTCACAATTTGAATAAATTTTCATAAAACAAAACATCTTCATTTCATTCCGTTGAAAGACAACCCTCAGCTGTCGCTTCCTCGTGAATTAAAAATAATCGTAATAAAGTTTGTGAAAACGTATACCATCTTTAAAAATATACTTTAAACAGTGGGATGATCTCAAAACTGTTTCGAAAGTTATGATAATATTTAATGAATGAGTGAAACGAAATCTGAACGGAAGTGAAAAGATAATGTAAACTGACTAGTTCAAAACACGAGGCAGATGGCTCATCATACCATCAAACTTGTAAGTAGCAGTAGAGCTCCTTGTTGGACCAGGGAAGCACAGCCACCTTACTTATTTCTGCCGAACCGAATCAAATGTGAACATTACTGCGTTCCGGTTTTGAATGGAAGGGTGCTGGTGAAATTACAGGCTCATGGGACTTGTCAACTTATGTTTCAATGTGATGGGCGCAGTGGCAGATCTTTTCGATTTAAATCTCTGAGTGGCAAAGCAATTGTTATGGGCAGACGTGTCGTTTAACACCACGATTTGTTCGTCACATCACTTGATATTATAAAAGCAAAAAAAATATATATTATTGCTTTAATTACCTCGCAATAATAAGCTGAAAATCAGCTTGAAATTCGTTATTCGATATCTCAGCTAATACTAGAAACATTAAGGTTAAATGTTAAGGTCAGTGGTGGAAGTACACATATCCCTAACTACTATACGAGTACTATAACATGCTCTATAATGTTACCCAAAACGAACGACGAATTCGGTGACTCAGCAGTTTGCACTGTGGGCACTAGATGACGAGGTGATGGGTTCGATTCCCTGAAGGATCAATTTATCCTAAATTGATCCTTCAGGGAATGAACAATGTCCAACAATGAACTTTTCTCAATTGGTTCTGGACTGGATTTTCTGGGAAACCAAGGAATTCCGTTGCTTTGGTATTAATTGTACAAGGAATTTTCTAGTGTGAGACGTGTTTATCTGAAAAAAAAAGAACATTGGAATAAAGGTTCTACACCGCCATTGCATGACGTCATAAACATAACATTGCGGTTTCTTTCGATCTCCCGAATGAGCTGCCGAGAACTGCTTTACTTTTTAATGGGTTTCAATTCCGTTTTCACATTTGACGTTTAAATGTTGTTTTTAATGTTAATAACAAATATTTCATTTTCGATTCTTGTGAAATTACCTATTATGTAAATATAAACCTATTCTTTCACATCCTAACATAAAATTAAGGTTCATACAATCAGTGCCACGCCATATTGTAATTTTAGCTTAAAATAACATAAACTTTGTAAAATAATAATACGTAACAATTTTCTTATTTTCATAATGGCAAATTAATGTAATTTCGTTGAAATTATCTTTGTACATTATAATAAGACAGAAAAACATTGTCTTCTAAAAGTTATCTTTTAAGATAAGCTTCTAGATGTTTTATTAAAATGCTCAAAATACATATTTAGCATATTAACATCAGGAAACTCAGTTTTTAGAACCATTTACTAGTGTTAAGTTAGCTTCACTAGTAGTTTATCTCTTTTGGTAGAATAAATGGGGTGGACGAAAGAATGCTCCTCGCAATGGCGTACTATTTATTCATGTCCTCTATACATCTGGCGCGCCCTGGGCAACAATCAGCAAGTACGTTACGTCGATTGGCAAATCTTTTCGTCTCTATTGCAGACATAACCCACACTTCAACATTGCGTGTTAGTAGCATTAGAGCTCCTTGTGTAAGAGTTCGTACTGGGTAGTACTGCCACCTTACCTGTTTCTGCCGCCAAGCAGTAATGTCAGCATTACTGTGTTCCGGTATTGAAGGGTAAGTGTGCCGGTGAAATTACAGGCACATGGAACTTGTCAACTTATGTCTCTATGGTGACACTACTTATGGTGACGGGCGCAGTGGCAGTGCCCCTCAGATCTTTGCTATTTAAAGCTCCGAGTGGCATTGCAACTGTTATGGACAGGCGTGTAGCTCTTATCATCAGGCGCACGACATGTTCGTCCCGTCACTTGACATTATAAAAAAAAATTGCGACTACTACTAGTGACACGGGTAGAGGCAATAACTTCTGGGCCACAGTTATATAGTGTATGCCACAAAAGAATAAATAGAGCAGAAGTACTTAGTGGGCGCGGCATGTGTGCCAACAATACGCGGAGTTCCGCATACT